ACTATATTACAATGGTCTTGACCCACCCTCAGTATGACTGTATTATAATGGTCTTGACCCACCCTCAGTACGACTGTATTATAATGGTCTTGACTACCCTCATAACGACTGTATCACAATAACTTTGATCTACCCTCAGGACGACTGTTTTATAATGGCCCTTGATAAAAAAAAATGGACAAACGTATTACAATGATATTGAGTAATCCTCAGTGCGACTATAGTAAAATGACCCTTACAATGACCTTGACCACTCCCAGAACGGCTGTATAACACTGATTTGCCTACCCTTAGTACGACTACATTACAGTTGCCTTGACCTACCCTCACGACCTTGAGCACCTTCTGAACCACTGTATTACAACGACCTTAACACATCTACGGGCGGCTGTATTACAATGTCCTCGATCCACTTAATGTACGACGTTGTCAAAATGACCTTTGCCCACCCAAGGCATGATCTATAACAATTGCATTGAACAGGCTTTGCGTACGACTGTTTCAATCTCGTACAATCTTAGGTACACATTGGGTGTGGGAGATAGCTAACATGCTGATCACAGGCGAGCTCAAATTCTTGACTCAGGTTAAGGAGGACGCCATGATGGAGATCCATTACCCTGAGGAATTCGACAATATGCCATCACCTAGGATACTAAACACCCACATGCCTTTCCGCGTGCTGCCCTCTGATGTCACCAAGAAACGTCTGAAGATTATTTTTGTTCAGAGAAACCCTAAAGATGTGGCCGTATCTCTGTTTCACCATATGAATAAGTTGATGCCAGATAATCTTCAACCAACATTCAAAGACTTTATCAGCCTCACAATACAAAATCCTGGTACGTGTTCCTAATTATGTATGCAAATTAAACATTCCGTTAATATACTGAGGGATAAACTAAAAAGGTAACCAGATGGGACCATTAGGTTATAACTATACATTTCTGTACTATAAACCTTCAAACCAGAGCTCAGAAATCTCGTTTGATATTTTATATTCTTATATAATGTAACAAAATATAACTTTAGGTTTTTGAGCAAAGTTGTGAAATAGGTTTTACAATATTGAATTAAAGCACGCTATGAATAATTAGAAGATGTAAAATGAACACAATTTCTAATAAAATGGAATAGAATAAATTTGATATATAGTTAAATTCTTCAAACTTAAAACCTTCTAGGCTATAACGGACCTGAATAAGTCACTTCACATCAATTTTTTGAGATTACAGTTGGATAACTAAGTTTGATTTCAGAGGTTTTATCTATGTCTTATTAACTGTATGACCATTTTCTAATTTCCCCCAAGAAAAATGGCCACCTGGGCCTCTTATTGTCTGACATTTTGACCTCTTCAAAGTTTCCATCAGACCAATTTTGACAAAACTTTATTGAAATGTTTCTCTAATCGGACTTAATAAATGTTATTTATTTGAATGATTCCCAATCACCTGCGGGTTGGCCGAGTGGTTAAGTTGTCTGATATCTACCATCACTAGCCCTCCACCAATGGGTCGCGGGTTCGTGGCCTACGTGGGACAGTCGTCAGGTACGAACCGCAGGTCATTGGTTTTTCTCCGGGTAATCCGGCTTTCCTCCAACACCAAATCCTGGCTGGTCCATAAATGAAAATAGCTGTTGATAGGCCACGAAAAACAGGGAGAGAGAGAAATAGATAAACAATCACTTATGGTCTAATTGGCTGAGACATTTTCAACTTCTTAGTCCATCCCACTTCGCATAGTGTCAAAATGACCATTATGATGCTTGTCAAACAGCTCAAAGCTTACCCCCAAACATCTTACACATGTGCCAGTAATTGCGCTTACAACTTGGTTTCATTTCTAATAGTTTGTTAAATAAGATATCTAGCATCGTCACAATATGGTCTCAAGGTACTGGACATATTTCCACCACGTTGTGTCTTGTCCGGTAACAAAGAAACAGTTGGCCGATATAGCCCTATTATGACTGATACTAGGATATTGGATGTTTTGTCCTTTGTATATTAACATCGTCTTACAGACGGTCACCAAAGCTACACTGTATCTGTTAAATCGTTCGTAAGTGATGTATGTTTCAGACTGGTTTCAATATACCCTACAATGGGAGAAGGTGATTGCAGAAACCCCCGACGTACCAATGCATGTGGTCTACTACGAATCTCTCAAAAAGGTAAGATGACCCTCACGGCGTAATCAGCATCTCCAGTAGTGTTAGCTAATTCGCTTAGACTACTAAGAGTATTGAAAAAGGTCAAACATTCCATATGGACTACCGAGAGAATATCACAAAAGGCAGGGCAGGCCACATAAACTTCTCAAAATCTTCAAGAAAGGTACAGAAGTTCACACTAAGAATCTCCAAAAAGGTAGGACAGACCACATGGACTATTCAGAGTTTTCTCAAAAAGGTAAAATAGTCTATATGAACTACATGTATTAACATTATCAAAATCTAGGCAAGACCGTCCAAACGGACTTCTAGGAATCTCTCAAAATCAAGTGGCGAAGCGGGTAAGACACGTGATCTACACGTGATCACCATGGTCCTGAGGTCCCGTCAGAGCGTTAAGAAGACGATTACAAGGCTGCGTTGTTATTGACTGAAGCTGCAGAACGTTTCAAAATTGTGGACACTGTATGTTGACTTTCCCTTATATGTCGGACGTATTATCAGATGTTTTAGTTGGCTGGAATGTAAAGCTTGGCCTAAACATTACGAACAGCTAGTATTCGTCCAACACAGAAATTGTTTTGATATATCTACCGTGCCTTAAATGTGAGGCTGCTGTGATCGTTCGTTGATTGGAACTCCAAATGTTCTGTTTATTGTCGTTGACAGAACCCAAAGGAGGAGATAGCTCGTCTGGCAAAGTTTGTGGGGCACGACAGAGGCGAGACATATATAGCCCAAGTGGCCGAAATGTGCAAATTTTCTAACATGAAAAAGGCAAACGCTAGCGTGAAAGATCACTCTGAGTACTCGAAGATGTTTGGTGAACTGATGAAGGGAATGTACAGGAAAGGTAGGTATCGATAAGGAAACAAGTTCATGTGACGAGGGCGCATATTGTATGAAAACTTTTTATAATTTGTGTACGAAAGTTATGACCTTTTGTGACTTAAATCTTTCATCGAGCAAAAGTAAATCTTGTCACAGCAACTAGTACCTCAATTGTCCCGACCGGACAACAGATGTAGAATGTGTGATGGGAATAAAATGAGGATGCTGCGTAATTTTCTACGAGTTATGACCCTTAATGATAATTTACAACACCACAGTCTGAGAGAGTAGCATGGCATCCTATCCTAATATACACACTTTTCTCATGATTTAATTTGATATTAACCATCACTCCTCTAAATATTGAAATTCTTAAATCAAGGGGTTGTACGCTCATGCCCCTCTCGTTCTATATTACTTTTATAGCCAATTTCGCGTTTGCCCTTAGCATCACATATGAGTGCTAGAAGAACGAAACAGCTGTACGGTGCTGTGTTATTCTTTTTTTGGCGTACTGTATTATCTGTTACCAAATCATCACACTTGTGTGTGTTACGTACATCTTTCTTGTTGACATTTATGTTAACATTATGTGTTAACCTTTCTGCTGTCGTTAGTCGTCAGTGATATTTACCAGCCGTATAACGATCAGCTTTCCCGTCCTTTTATACATAGATAGGCCTATTTCTTTTCTCAAAAAGTTCTCCTTCGAACGGCAAAATTGAAAAAAAGCCACAACACATGGTATATACATGAGTTATTGTCCTTATAATGTACATTCGTACCTGTAATTTTTTTTCGTAAATTTCAGGTGAAATTGGTGATTGGAAAAACTTGTTTACTGTCGCCCTAAATGAAGAATTTGATATTTTGTTCAAGGAACAGATGAAGGATTCTGAATTCAAATTTACATTTACATAATCAAGATGTCAAAATGACAACACAAGACAAGCACGTCCGTACTTTGTCTGATAATGTAGGTCGTGTGATCTGGTCATTTTATACCTGTTTCGGTAACATTATATTGTGTTAAGAGGAAACCATGATGGTGACGCAGGCGTGTGTAATGATTCGCCGTGGTGTTACTATGTTTCCGTGAATTAGTCTTAAAATGTTGTCTTTTAGTTTTTACTTTAAACTTAATTTCGTTTGTATGTACTCTGTGTAATTCCCGCTTCCCATAAAGAAACAATAAGTAGAACGAAGTATAGACATACCTTTAAGGAAAAATTCCGTTGAAGTATAAATACACACAAAATAGTAATAATTAAATATATATTAATAATATATTTAATCACAGATATTATTTATGTCAGAATGTTATAACTTTCAAAAACAGAACAAATTTTGTATGTGAAAAAGTGCACAAATACATGTATATAAAAGACATCAAGAAAGTTTTCTGAGTTTGAATTGTTTAAATAGTATCACACGGACCTGCACGAGTTTGCTGCTGAACTGTTCTGTAGGCAATTTGAACATCAATCGGGAACCGTCGGCACTTTCCGTAAACGAGAAAATATTTT